TTAGCTCATCTGGTAACTGGCAATCTGGTGTAATATTTAATGACAGTCTTGATGTAAAGTTAATTTCAGCTCATGTCCACATTCACTTACAGTAACTTACCCATTTAAAGTATCATCACACCTAAGCAATCAGTCATGAGAAATAAATCAAATGAATGAATAAGAGTGGTGCTAAATAAGTATGTGCTGTGTCTGACACGCTCTTCATCCCTCCTCTAGAGGGCGCTCCGACACTTTTGTGTTAAGTTCATTATCACGTACACCTGTCCCTGGATTAATCGTATTTAAACCCAGTGCTCCTGAAGCTCGGGGCTCTGCATTGGAAGACAGACGCCTGGAGGCCCAGCTAGCATCAAGTCATCCCTTTTTGTTGTTTCCCTAAAATCACTGCAGTGTTTTTCCCCGTTGGAGTATTGTTTTGTGTTGATCAAGATGGCCACCAGTGACTTTTCCTGTTTGTAGTATCACACAAATCATCTTAAAGGGAAAGGTTACCGGTGAGCCATCTATAAATAACCGATGTAAGGTTAGTTGTTTTGTTTAAGTGAATATATCACGGTTGCATGACTCTGTTAAAATTTATAAGTTTTTTGGGGATGGTTAAATACTTTATTTTGAGCAAACTGCCCATCTCTGTTAAGAAAATGTGAGCGAGTTACTTTAAGAGGATGATCCATGGAGAGGAGGGGCTATAAAAGGGACTGGGAGCTTAGTATGGAGGAGGGTGCCTTGGAGGAAAGATGTGGAGAGTACTCCTGTGAGGGTTTTTTTTTTGTTATCCCTATTTTTTTTGGCAATAAATTCGGTTTTGTTTGCATTTGAAGACTGCTTGTGGGAGTTTCTTTTCTTTTGAGCCAAGCCTGGTCACTTGGCCGGTGACAGGTGGATTCCCTGGTTTGGGATTTTGGACTGCGCTCCAGATTTCCTACATTGGACTGTTCCCTGGACTTGTTTGCCTGCACTCCCCCCTTGCACCTGATCACTGTCGACACCGCCACCTGTTCGCCATCCCTTCCTTTCCTGACCGTGTTTTCCCCGTTGCCCTTTTCCATTCACTTCTGGATTATACCAACTGAACAGGGTCCTAAACTACGCACTACAAGGGAGTCAGGGCCGGCAGTTTCCTTCCACCAAGCAAAGAAATGACTGACTAATCTGAGTCATCCATTTCTCTGTGGCTTCACAATGTAGAGAGAGAAGTGATCTCATTCTTGGAGCTCTCAGTGTTGTCTTGTGCCCCATACTTCCAGGTTTGGTTCTATCTGGCCATGATGCCTCACTAAGAAAAGGATAATTCTACACAGACACATCGTTTTGGATCATGAGACATATCAAAGATGAAACTGAGTCATAAAGCGTTATGTTTCTGAGAAATAGTAGGCAAAACTAACAGCAGAGCAATACTATGCCTATGCTATAACATAACTATAATTGGAGTGAAATAAGATTGTAAAGCAGTTACCAAGGACAAGATTTTAGAACTTCCATGTCTCAGATATAACTGTTAGCTGTTCTGTAACTCTTCAACAAGCTTTCCTATTTGAATACAGCTTGTGCCACAAACCATGCATTATCAACAAACCTTGGGTTATTCACGAAAAATAAATTGACTAAAACAAACACTGATTTTGTCCAGGAGGTAACCAGCATTTTGTCACCTACACCATACAAAATAAGTAATTTTTTCATTACAATTCAACTGGAAGCACCGAGAACAAACCAATTAAATAATTTACAAATTATATTTCATAGAGTATTTTTCACTAAAACACCAACAATTATGGGTCAAAGAAAATTTAGTTGATAGGCATAATACATCACAGACAGATGTACCATGTATCATATTTCTACACATGGTGCAAAGAGACTGATATAATTGCTCTACCTGAGTCAAAAGTTAATTTAGCACTCAAGGTAATGAAGGTCGAAGCACAGTTGAGCACGTAGGCCATGCGTCATAAATTAGCTCAACATATTGGAGATTATTAATGAGTCAGTATGATTCATGTTGTTGTTATGTATGCATTATGCATAAGCTGATGGATAAAGAGTAGATAATTAATTTCAGGCTTTCCAAAGTGAAACTGACCCAGTACTGATGCCCAGAGAATTGTTTTCATCACTCTCTGTAGATATTAGGAAACAAACTAAACAATAACAACAAGGGAAAGGGCATCTCTGACTAAACTTAAGTATAAAATTTTCAGTCGCATACTATTTCATAAATAGCTTTCAATATTACGGAAACACGGATTAATGGTACATTTGAAAATGCTTATTAAGATAACTAATGGCTACTTTCATAGGGCAAAAATATGTTTCATTCATGGGTTTGCACATCCTTTATAGCCAAACCTTTGAAAAAGCAGGTTTTGAGGAAATATAGATGGTATTAAAAACACATGTGCCACTGACAGAAATGGAAATTTTCCCAGTTTGTTTCATATTAAACTATTAAAAAACAAAGGCTATGGTCAACCCCTCTAGATGACAAGAAATAGCATTGTCGATCTTTCATAATAGACAGCATAACAAATGTTCCTGTTTTTGTCTTGTATCTCTTATTTATCCATTGATACAGCAATTTTAATTAAATGTAACGCAGATAGTTGAGTGTCGACTCCTGAGTATTTAAATTATTGTCACTTTCTTAGGGAGAAACTATTCCACTGCTTAACAATTTTACATACGGTATGATATAATCAATCCAGAGTTTCCATCACAGTATTGTCTAATATAGATTTGAAGCTGGCCAAGATGTTGATTCAAGAGCATTTCATCACATAAATTAAAAAGTAATATTCACAGATTTGTTTGTCAATGTTTGTGAGAACAGCAGGCAATAAATTAGTTTAATCCACTGTATGATCCCTGGAAGTAATTCAGAAAAAAACTATAAAAAAACAACTGAGTTACACTTTAGATTAGTAGCTACAAATATGATTTTTAGATGTATTAAACTCACTTGTAAACTATTAATAAAGTGACATAAATGTGATAATAAAGTGCTGTGATTAATTGAATGTTAGTAATAAGGCCCTAATCTTTATCATCACCAGTACAATAACAATAACTGTAATCCTAACCCAAGGATTAGGAGAAAGCAATAATCTGTATAACTAATTGTATCATCACAAATGACATGTTAATAGATTGTTAATAAACAGCTGTAATAAAAACAAACCTTTAGTGTGACCAACATTTCTACATTCCTTGGAGAGGTAAAAAATATTAAACTCGACTTTCTGCTTTGCAGATCTGTTATCCAGGTGCACAGATCCTCTAGATTTTAACAGTGAACGTAAATTTTCTGGGCTTTTAAATTAAATATATTAAAATGATTTACTTGCAAATATATCAAATGATTTTCCAAAGAAATGCAGGATATACAGTAAAATATTCTTAGGTAACATTTACTAAGATGAGAAAACTTACTGAAAGCTCAATATTTGGTATTGTATGTACTGTAAGTTCTGTCTTCTAGATGAGCTCATTTACATTCCTGAAAACTTTTAGTTTTTTTGTTAAGAGTCTGACACTGTATTCAAAGACTGTCCATTGTTTTAGTGCTGTTATAACTGGATTAATTTCTTCTCAATTGTTTGGAAAGCTTTAAAAAGCACTCAGCTTATTAGATTTGAAACCATACAAGGGCCCACGCCTTTGGAGTTTCAGCTGCAATCACTTGCTGTGCTAATGGCCATTTGTCAGTTTAAAAAACACAGATTTATTTTTAATGCAGTCTGACAGTTTAACATAAATAAAACAGAAGAACAGAAAATGACAGACTAAGAGCATTGTAAACTTATTTTTTATATTTTGAGCTTTAACTGAGCTTTCATTTTAAAATATATAACTTCCCTTAAGGTTACCAAATGAACCACTTGCAGTTCATGTTTAGCAAGGGGAAAAGGGTAACCCACATAAAATCAAGTGACAAGCGATTAACGCACTCTAACAATCAGAAATGTCAGTCATGGTTTATCTTCATTGCATTAGGGTTACAAATGGCCCAAATCGTTCACACACATCAGCCATCCATCTAGGGAATGTTTGATTATTTTTAGAATTCATTTTCAGAAGGTCTGTTAGCCTCAACCTTTTCTTTCCATCACAACTCTCACTTCTTATCCCACTCTAGAACCTAAATACATGTTAAAAAGAAAATCAAAGAAGCCGACACCCCCTCTTTCCGAATGAAAGGAAAGATAATTCCATCTCTTATCTTTTATGATCATCTCATATGTTTAATACAAATTCTGTAATTAAAAACAACCAAAGCCCTAAGTGAGAAGACTCTATTCTAACCTAATACCCCACCCCCACCTTCAACTTCCTTTCATTTTTAGATTTGCATATCTGTGGATGATTAAAGGTGGGCGTTCAGTAACAGGTGGTCAGTAATATGCTAATTGAAGAACATTACAATGAAAATTAACCTAAGTACATCTGAAAAGCTACGATCTATTCCGCAATCAAAACTCACAATGCAGACCACAATTCCACTTAAATATGTCTTTCTTTTTTAATGCAGCTAAGGAAAATTGAGATATCCACAAACAGCAAGCAAAACATCAAACCATGATCTCAAGTGTCTATAAGCACCTCTGAGCAGCAGCTAATGAGCTATTTATCCCCACATCTGTGTCGGCTGAGCACTGGAGGGTAATCTGAGTATCTTCTCAAACACAGTTTCCTCTGAATGGAACTAATTACAGGCTATTTTGTCCCACACTCTTTGAAGGGTGTCTTGACAATTTCAGTTTCCTATCACCTCAAAGGAGAAACATTAAAATAAAAATTGAACACAACTTGCATAATTACACCAAACAACAAATGATAAAATGTACTATAGAAAACTCATAAACACCTAAAGGGAATAGAGGCCTCAGTGATAGAGCTGGGAGAGCCAGAGCACATACTAATATTTCTGCAGTCCCGATAGGTACAGTATGCTGTACAAACTAAGGTGAAGAAACAAAGGACCCAGATGACCTTACCTTTCTGTAGACAATCATATTTGGAGAATCTTCATCTGGATCTGCTGTTCCCACAGCTGCCTGGTCTTTGGGCGCCTGGGCCATAGCTTCACTCTCCTGGCCTCAAAACGAAAACACAAAAATAGCCTGTGAGAGATTCATATACAGTACCTGTCATTTTAGACACACATACTCTTCCTCAAAGAACCAAACTGAGTCATCAAATGCAACCTTAAAATGACCAGGAATTCAGCAGTTGTGCAAACATCAAAAAACGAAAGCAAAAACCCCTTTACTACAGTTCATTTAGTAATGTGTACAATACCCTCTTACTGTTACTTGCTTTCATTTTGGGGAATAAACATTTTTTGAAACTGCTGTATTATTACATTGTCTGCTTCTGCGATCACAAGGTCATGTTCTGTGAGGTTTGTCTCTGAAACGACAAGCACAGTGGAACAATTAGAATTCATGTTCAGCCTCACTCATAAAAGTAAGCTTTTAGAAAACATGAGAGTCAAATTAATTTATTTGGTTATCTTAACAAATAAGACATCATTATATTAAGGCTATAAAAACCAGCAGGATTTTCACGTTATTTAAATCAATTTTATAAGCCAAAAATGACATCAAATAAAAATTTCAGTTGTAATTTTGTAAAATGTTGAACCTGAGACTATTAGGAGACAAAGATATAATTTTGATGTCACATACAGATTCAAGTTCCTTTGGAAAGAAGCAGTGGAGACTGTTACATTTAAGGAAAAAAAACATCATAATAAACTACCATAAATACATTTTCCAAATCTTGTCAAGGAACATTGTATTAACGCAATACCAATGCATTACACTAGGGATCCCTTTTTAACAGTCTAGTCTAACAACAAATTAAGCAACCTACAGTACCAAAATGCATCAAATGTTCTATGAGAATGTATAGCAGAGAGACAGATGAATACTAGGACTTGTACTGTATGTGCTACATTCTGCAGCAAATCAATTAAAATGTTTAATCTGTCATAACTAATCCACTTTCCCAATTTCAAATGTTTAGTAGTTTCAGGCATTTCAAAAATATGAATTTGTGTGCAGTAGTTCTCCTACACTTGCCAAAATATCAATAAAACAGCATCAGTGGTGAATTGTCAATGTTAATTGAATAGAAAACATTATATTAAGTTAGAAAAATGTCAGCCCTGAATTATTTCTACATAGCGGTCCACTTGAACACTGCTGTGTTCGATTATGGAAGAGCACATTACAAATAGTAGAACAAAGACAGAAGATAGAGCCATCCTGGAACCACCATGCACACAGGGAATCTAACACAAGCAGTCCGTGATTTGTATGGGATCTACAGTATATTTCTTAGCATCTCTTGCTGCTTACTGTAAATGTTACAAATTTGACTTGAGACAAGATGTCAGGTTTGGCTCAACCATTTAAATATGCGATTTTAATGTTATAAAAATTGTTGTGATACATTAGTTAGAGGTTTAATTCTTCCACAGATACCCTGAATACAGTACACTTGTGGACTCCTTTTTTTTCCTTTTTTTATGCGGTCACTATAATAACGAAGGGCTGGTTGACCAAGTAACCTTAAGTGGCTTTGTGGACCAACCTGCGTAGAAGCACACTCCAAACACAGGCTGAGACCTGAACAGTAGTGAACGTGTGTGGTTTAAACCTTATGTCATTAGCCACCTGTAAGCAGGTGTGCCTCAACGGATGTGTGGCTGTACAGTATATTCATTAAAAAATGGGAGGCACTTCCTGGGGTATTGCTGCTCCACAATTCTTGGGTTTGATTCTGGACTGGTTGCCTTCTTTCTGGAGTTTGTATATTCTCCCTGTGTTGATGTTTATTTCTTAAGGTGTTCTGACTACCTTACTACCTTCCAAAGACTCACAGGTTAGGTTAGATTGGCTGCTCTACACTCTCCCTATAGGTTTTACCCTCTAGTCCCCATTAGACAAATTAACATGGTGTAATAAGAAATGCATATGAAAGAAGGTTTCAAAATTATTTTTCTCTTTAGACATAAGGGACTTTTAAGAAATAATTATGAAACCCATGGGACAGGTGCTACTGAAATTGGGACTAGTACAACCCTGTTTGTACATACTGTACACATCTATTCACTTTGTGAATCTGGATTACTGTTGCATGCTGTTTTCTTAACTTCTTTCTGAGCTGCAGCATCCCTCCTTGAAAAAAAGATGACCAGAAAAAAACAAAGTATGCTAAATAAAGTTTTACTGCATGCAGATCAAGTCTTAGCGCTAACCACTTCAATATAGCACATACTATACCCTCTGTTTCTGTAATTGTGTTGGCACATAGAAGATTTGTTCTCTTTGCAATTGTGGGCCCTACTGTAGGTCTTTTCCGCATAGATTCCCAGTGTGTACTATTAACTTACCATACATGAATCTTAATCTGTTAGTCTGTATCCTCTTTTGTATACAAAATTGAAGTGAAATATTTTCAATAGTTCAGATCCTAGCCACTCTGTGAAGAGCTCCAGTTCATAAAGTCTTCCCTAACGCACTCAAAACATATGTCTTGCTGCCAGATGACTTTATTCCCATTACAAGGGATTTACACTCCTAAATTCACACATCTTAGAAATACCATAATTGGGTATTTGGGCACTTTAATTGTCCATTCTTGCTAAATCAGTGATGGTGGACATATCATCTTAGATAGCTTCACTGTCCTGTGTTGTATTGTATATATGAAATTGTTTTGTCATGACTGTTATTTTAATGTGTCAGAGCTCCATACTCTGCTGGAATCCCCTAGATTCTGTGTAAGCACTTGTTTGAGGCAGGAGAGATCCTTGTAAATACAAATTCTTGGTTGTATCTTTGACTCTGGCATCTGGTATCTAACCTGTGCATGTAGAACAGATGAGAAAACCTGAGGATAATTGCAGTCTCGGCAACCTCAGATCAAAGTGACTATTTTTTACCTGTATATTTACTTTCTAGGTCAAATTTCTTTCATAAACATTTAAACATCAGGATTATTAAAAAAAACTGTTTTAGTAAAGGTCAATGTAGTTTTACAAACTATTGAAAAAAAAACAAAAACATACAAAGTAACGTAAAATGATAGATATCCAGCAACCACACTATGAACAGGCCTCTGCTGTGAATGTTCTTTTTGCAAATCTTAATGGCTTAAAGCAAGATTAAACATAAGGCTGTTACAAATACAAACCAGTTTGGTACAACCAAGAAATGGGGAAACAAGAATGTGACAAAAATAAGATAGGAAACAGAATTCTACTAAAAACACACGGAAACGCTTTAAAATGGAACTCATTTTTGAAAACCAAACAATGACTGAAAACATAAATTCATAGTACAACACTACATAATGATTATAATGCTACATTTCATAACCATGCTAGCATTTTACAAAACGCTTTTAGGTAAGATTTAAATATTCTTTCTGGGCTGAAATGAATCTTTACCATTAATCTGCACCAAAATGCAAAACATCTGCTACTGTATGTACTGGCACCACATAAGATACGTGGAGTATAAGTGGAGTGAAAATGCAGTGTTTTGAAAGGGGCAATTTCTCAGGGATATACCGATTGTTCACTATAAATAAGTGGTGCCCTAGCACAGTTGATCCGTTCTGTAAGCTTTTTCAATCATTGCCATGCTACACTGCAAGCAACAGCCTGTGTTTAAATACCTGCAGAAGGAGTACTGTAATTCCTGTACAGAGCATAATATATAGCAGTATTTATAATATACTTGTATGTAATAAGTATGCACTCTTAGGGATAAGAAGAAATGCTCCAACTTCAAATGTTAAACCATCTACAATCACTAATCAGGCAAAACACAATCCATTTTTTTAATCCATTTCTAACACACTTCAGAAACTGACAGCCCAGACAAAAAGAACAGGTACTTTTTGAGATGCACTTTATATTAAATCTTGTTCTTCCCAAATACTGAATCGTGATAAAAACAAAGTATCTATGTTCATGTAGTGGCATTATTTTTTTCAAATTCTTCTAGACACATTGATTTTAATTAAAACTAGCCATCAGGCTGTCAAATCAGGCTCACTGACACACAAATGCATGCACCATCATACGGTATGCACGGTCTAGGAACATACAATTTCTGAAACATTCTCTTCAAAATACAGGTACTACTTCTGGATTTATAGAACGACTGGAAAATAGTTCAAAATGAACTAGATACCTTTGCTGCTACAATGAGAGCAATTGTAACCTCGCAAAAAACATTTAATCTCTCCAATAAAGAGCCATGCAAAAACATTCCCCCTCTTAGCTGAGCTGTGTAATTCAATATTTTTGAAAGATTCCCAACTGCTTAATGAAGCATCCATTACCTTAGCAACAAAATAATGCCTTGTCCACTCCTCTTTATTTTACTTTCCTTAGCAACAAGCGAAAGGCAGGTTCATGGTACAACAAGCTTGAAAAAAAAATTTAAATAAACAAAATGTCAAGATACAAAATTAGAAACGGTTCTTTTGCTCAGTGCAGTAATTCCTCTCGTGCTTCCTGGTGGTTCGTGGTTCGGCTTTGGTGGGTGGCTTTGAGTGGTTTCAGCAGAAGAGGAGTCAGGTAGAAAGATCCTCTTGTATGTGCTTGTGCGTGTGAGAGGGAGAAAGAGTCAGAGAGCTAGCCGGCTGAAGTGTGTCTCCCTTAGTATGTGTCTGTATTGCCAGGCACAGAAACCCTTCTCTGGGAACAGGGAATTTATAGACAGGAGAGCTACAGTGAGAGAGCAAGAGCAGAAGAGAGAGAGAGCAAGAGAGAAACGCCAGGATGCGTTGGGAAAAGAAAAGGAGGGCAGAGGTTTAGAACATATTACAGCAGCGCCCACTGATGCTGAAAAGAAGAATTTATTTTTCTGAAGTGGGAATGACAGTGGAGGCATTAGCTTAGCCAAGTTTTAATATGGAAGTAAATCAGTGAAGACATTGTTATAGGGAGAGACTCATTTCTTTATTAGCTTCGGAGTTTTGTACCAAAGGTGGATTAAGTCACTAGAAAATGAGGAATGCATTTAAAAGCACAGTAACGTTTCTTCTTTATAGACACACACGCACTTGGGTAGCCATCCAAAGTGAGTGCACGGCATATGAGATAGAACTGCTGACCCTCCAAAGCATCCAGTCCAAGTCCAACAGACTATGGAACAGCTTCTACCTCCAGGTAATGCTAAATAGCCAACCTGCAGCTCCTTTAGCAAATCACCTGTAATGGCTACATGGGTATATAGTTTTCACTGTATTCAGCATAACCGCACTACTTGTACTGTATATATTGCATACACCATGGACACATAGCAGCTCTACTCATATTGAGTTTTATTCCGTTTCTATTACATCTATTCTTATGTAACCTTATTTTCATAACCTCAATTTTGTGATTTTTGTGTTTTTGTTATTTTTGTGATTTCTGTGATTCTTGTGATTTTTGTGAGCTCGCAGAAAAGACATTTCATTGCCAGCAACTACTGCTGCATGCTGTATTGTTGTGCATTTGGTAAATAAACTTTGATTTGATTTGATTTGAATCTTCAGCAGAAAATAAAATGACAGGACCTGATTCAAGTATTCATGCTCTAAAACATTGACAAAGTCAATGAGATAGAGTTCTTCAGAATCAACAGTGAAATATGAAGTAGACTTAAGTGGAAAGTAGAAGGAAGAGCACTTAAATCTTAAAATAGGAAGCAATTTCTTTACATAAAGACATATCGTGTCCTGAGCACCTCATTCAGCCAAGTAGTTTAAGCTGATATCCTGGCTGCTGTCAAGGAAGGGTTGGATGACATGTTTTGAACATGTTGCTACTAACAACTTAATGAGTGATATGGGTGGAATGGCCTTTTCATGTTCTTTTGATTTCTTAGGTTCAGTTATTCCCAACAACATGAAACCCCACACTTTAAGCAACATTATATATATATATGTGTGGATGTATCTAAATATAATGAATGAGATTGTCAGTCGGTTGGAATGCATCTAAAATATTTCTTGCAGTGCCTTGCAAAAGTTCACTTCCATTTTGTTGAATTAAAAGTGATGCATATACAGATTTTTGAAGGGAACTCTTTATTGAGTAAAATAAGTTAAATGTCAGCAACTGCAAAGAAAAATTAAAAAAATTAAAGTATGTTAACTACAAAAGTATTCACTCCATTTGATGATATCTAATCTAAATGCAAATTCGGGTCACACCTTCAGAATCACAACATTATTTAGTCAGGTCACACAAATAATTGAATGGGCTCTGTATGTGTGAAACAATGAACACATACATGAACAACTTTTCATGCACTTTCAGAATACAGTAAATACACTTGTCTCTGTAACCTCCCAGGTAGTGAATTTCAAGCAATAGTTTAACCATGAAAACCAAGATTCAAAATAACTTGGGGTAAAGCTTTGGAAAGTAATAAAAACCCTGTGATTTAATTAAGCTGTTTAGAGTTTAAGTTCAATATGACCTATTGTAATACAATCAAAAAATGCATCAATTAATTTATTTCTTAAATTTGTTTGATATTACAATAAAAAAATCATATGCTAGTCTGCTACCATATAAAGATCCTTAAGCAGCATATGTCGATGAAAACATGGACATACTTCATCATGAAAGCTGGACATTCTGTTATGCCTCAGGGACTGAGATACACACTAGTATCTTCTGAGAGTAGTATATGCTTAACTAAATGTAACAAAGTTTAAGACAAAATTAAAAATTATTTTTATAGTTTGGGACTTAACCTGTTAGTTATGATTCTGTTGAGGAATATATTTAACATTATTTCTGAATATGAAATCTTTCAGAGGAACTCTACCGTTTATACAAAATAGAACTTATTCTGTGTGTACATTAAATCATTTAATTTTAAAATAAAGTTTCCAAAACTAAAATCCTAAATTTTTCAGTAAACTAGCTCCCACATTTCCAGAAATTTCCAGATAAGTACTGAAAAAAGGAGTCTCTTCAAGTGGAATTTGTCTAAAGGGAGTGTGGTTTCATAGATGCATTATTATTGAACAATTTTAGTGTTCAGCAAAACACTAAACACTTTTTAATCGTTGGGACTGTTTTTCATTACATTTTCACAACTGAAATGTACAAATCAAATGCAATTACATGCTGTATAAGCTTTTTTCTCAGCAGTATAGTACATGAAACCATTGTGTGTCCAGTGGAGCCAAAATGGCAAGCTGAAATGGCTGAAGTAATTCGTTCCCTGGAGGAAAGTGAGGAAAATGTTTTTTTTTTTTATTAAAATGAGTTCTCCAAACCCCTTAGGAATGTCATCACATCCACACACAGTGAGCTGCAGAGATGTAAACACACACTACTGTTACTGCCTTCTGCTTCAGATGTGCTGGGCTCAGAGTTAACTCTAAGAGAATTAACTCTAAGCCTGTCAAATAGATAAATTTGAAAGGGGTGAAATTAAGAGATGCTTTTGCAATGCTTTTGGATAAGGCACTGCATTTGTTTATCTTTTTCTCACTTTTGCTTACGTAGCAAGAATGTGGCATTACTCAACATGCTTTTTTATTGTTGTCTGCTTTTTAAAATAATATACTGTTGTATACAGTATATTGAATGTCTTTATTAGGAGGTATCAGAAATGAATGCTTTCAGTTTACTGCAGTCCTCATTTATCCTCCACTCAACATATTGGTGCAGTGTTATGCAAAATATTAAACAAGACTTCAGTTTAGCTTGTCAAATTTTAGCTGGACAAAAATACACTGCAGGTTTTTTACAATAAAGACAAGCTCTGGTTAATAAGAATTCAAGCATAAAACTTTTACTTAAAATACCATTAATCATATCAACCAATATGGTATTATATAGTATAATGTACTAGTATAAGAGTTAGAGTAGTATTATTTACTAGTATAATAATACTATCATACCTATAAAATACATAGGGTACTAAGTAATAAGTAAATCTCTTAACATACACATTATGTATTCAGGACCTTGGAGAGCAGAACATTTAAACCTCTGCAATATAGGTAGCCTTCTGATTTTCATGTCTCCTGTTTAAACTTATTTTTGCTGAGAACCAAAACTTCTTGCAAAGTAAAAATCAATTTTCTAAACCTCGGGATTTAGTATAATTGGGTATTAAGTGTAATGTTCTTTAAAAGAACTTGGAGATCAAAGACTTCAGTGGTGCAAAGATTAGGAAGGTAAAAATAAGCCTTAATAACCAGACATCTTTACCAATAACAACCTCGGAAGTTCCCATTTACACAAGTCAATATTCTACTGAAAAAATCTGAGGAAGCATCCTACTCACAGATATAACGGCTGCCACCTACCCAGTACTTGGGCCCACAACCCTCCAGCAACAACTGCAGAGCTCTCACTACTGCTAACTGATAATACTGATAATACTACAGCTCCATCCATCCATTTTCAAAACACTTTATCAAATACAGGGTCATGGGGGAGCTGGAGCCTATCCCAGCAAGCAAATGGTGCAAGTAAGATAATGGACAGAAAGCCAGTGCATAGCAGGACACACACAGACCCCAACATTCACACACTCATAGCAGGGCCAATTTTCCCAGAATCCAGTTAACCTACCAGTATGTTTTTGGACTGTGGGAGGAAACTGAAGCACCTGGAGGAAACCCTCTTGAACACAGGGAGAATATTCAAACTCCATTTGTATTCAGAAATACACTTACACAACATGAAATGCAATCATGGTTTCTTTCTCACTTTACAATTAACAGCTCGCTTTTGATCAGATTTTCTTATTAACTGTAACCACTATATTTATGTAAAATATGCACCATTTTTTCTATAAATAAGTCTATATTCATATGTAATAATTATATAAATGGAAATCCAATAAAAACATTGCAAAAGATTTCCTATTTTTACATACAGAACAATTGTCATTCATAGAAAACATTAAGTATGAAACAGAGACAGATTCTACAACAATATTGCATTCTCTGTCTGACAATTAAAAAAAAAACCCAGCTGTTATTTCTTGCCCAAGACTTTACTCAGCAGACACCTACAGCCTGATTTTTCTTAAATACCAGACCTCATTATGGTGGTCTAAGACACCCTATTGGTGTCATAGCTGTAAACCTTGACAGAGATTCTCAATAGGGCTAGTCATTATCTGGTGCTTACTCTAGCATATGTAAACAGAATAAGATTTCTGCACCTGCTAGGGTAATCAGTGATTATGTGAATTTGTGACAGCAATAAAAAAGTTTAATAAAACGTTTTTTCACAATCGCACAAGTAGAAAAATGAGAAATATGAAAGCTGTAAAATCATGAAGGAATATTCAGTGCTTTAGTAGCTGTTAAATATCAATTAGGGTCAACTAATCGAGTATTTCAATGCTAAAAGGCATATGAGAAATTTAGAAACTTACTGTATTTTAAAAAGTTACTGAATGACTACAGAACAGCTCATCCATGAAAGCCTTATAACTGCATTCCAGACCAACCTGGGACTTTCAACAACATTTTTAACAGCTATACTTTGTTTCCATGCCAATTTAGAATAATTAGATATTCAATTAAACCTAGGGCTATATTATGCTTCCTGTTCTCATGATGTTGTTCAAGGCACATGACTAAAATCCACAGCAAAAGAAATCACATTTAGGGCAACTGAACAGCTGCTTGTTTGTGTGACATTAAAAAGTGTCAAATATTGCCTCTTTGCAAAGAATGATGGTTAGG